GAAAAGCAGCTTGATGGAAAGTTCTGTAGTTTAGTTAGCAGTAAGATAGATGTTAGTATCTTTGGCATTACTGTGGCTTTAATTCCATATATGTGGTATGGTTTCCTAAATCTTTAACTTTCTACTGAGCTCCCAAACCAGTTTTACTTCCTATCTTCCTCGTCCCAGTGAAGCCACTATCTGTCCAATTACCCAACCCAGAAATCTTGTCACCTTCTTCTCTTCACCCTTCTCGCTCTGCACGTCTCATCACCGCTAGATTCTGGAGGTCCAAGGCCCTTGGCATTTCACCTCACTCTGTCTCTCCCTCCCAATGCTACCCCTTGCATGGCTCTTGCAGCCCTTGCCTCTGCTCTCACCTCTTTCCCATCTGTTCTCTAAACTACAGTCAGGGTGATATTTCTAAATGAATATCTCAATATGCCAGCTCTTCCTTTAAAGTTCTTTCATGTGTCTCTGCAATGTTGGAGAGAATTTAGGATCCTTTAGCAAAACATAAAGATTTCACGTTATTTCGTTCTTGGACTCTGTGGTCTCTCCCTTTCATTATTTTCCTGCCTCCCCATAAGACGGACCTCCTTGCAAACATGCAAACATGCCAGTCTGCTATAATGTTTTTTTTCATTTCATGACTTTGTATGTGGTTTGCCTAGGACTGGAGGAATTTTCCTTTACCTTATTTAACTGATCCTTTAGAGTTCTTGACACTACTTCCTCATAGAGCTTCCCAAGGCTGACTTGAAATTGTCTGTCTGGGTTCCCATAACTCGATTTATTGCAAGTTCTTGTTAAATTGTTTGCCTCCCCTAAGTTACTGAGTCCCTTACATGAATGATCTAACATACTCACTATTTAGGGATATCCCTGTCACATAAAATGTGCTCATGTGTGTATTTGTAGAATAACTGAATGATATACAAAGAAAACCAAAAAAAAAGCCCTAAGCCATTGAAAAGATAGAACTGAAATGCTGAGGGTCAAGAGGGTCAGAACTGATCCCTGTCTGTGAGAGATCACGGACATCTTTGTGGACCGGGTGACATTTTAACTGAACTTGGAAGAATAGGCAGGATTTAGAAACAAAAAGCATGGGGAAAGGAGTATGACTCATGATCACTATGAATAAGGAATGGAGGGAGGTGAAGTTGTGAATTGAGTATTGTGTATGAGAGAGAATGGCATCAATGGCAAAGACCAGCTATTGTTCACACCTAGGAGGTTTTTATTTGGGCGATTGTTTAATGCAAACCTTTTGTCTTGCTGAGTAGTTCTACTGTATAAAAATATGCTGATGAGATTTCCTGATCAGAAAGGATAAAGGAGGCCTGAAATATTCCTGGCAGTATGCCAGATGCATTCATGTGTAATAGGACCTCTCACTAAAACTAACAATTATTTTACGAATATGACAACAGAAATATGATGCATTTTAGAGCCTGAGTCATTCAATTTTATTTTGCCTGCAGTAAGCTTTGATGTCAAGGTCCTGTCCTAAATAAAGAGAGATGAATAAAGAGCTGATAGTGGTCCTAGCACTGAAGTAAGTGCTCTCACCAAAGAAAATGGCTTTGGAGAAAAGGGATTTGGGATTGAAGCCAACCTGACCTTTCTGTGACCTTGACACTTTTTTAACCTAAGTTTTTTGTTTTTTGGTACCAGGGATCAAACTTGGGACCTTGCGCTTTCAAATTAACCTAAGTTTTAAGAGTAAAAAATAAAGTTGATAATACTTCATAGACTTGCTAGGATTAAATGAGATGATGTTTTGAAAATACCATACTGGGGCCGGGGATTTAGCTCAGTGGTACCACCACCTGCTTCGCAAGCACAAGGACCCAAGTTCAATCCCCAGTACCAAAAAAAAGAGAAAATACCATACTGTCTGGCTTATGGTGGTCACCAAATAAAATTTAGTTTGTGGCTATTATCATTCTTACTTTAGAGAAAAAGAGAAGTAGCCTTAGTGGATAGCTTTCTTGGACCTTCATGTTGGTAAAAAAAAACAAAACAGAGAGACATGAATATAAAACCCAGATTTACCTTTTATTTATTATTTTGAATGTATTGGCCAATTAGTTCACTGAATCTCATTTCAACTGAACTGAAAATTAATCCAATATAACTAATCTAATTTCCTATCAATCCAAATCCATTATAATTTCTTATCTAAAGGGATTTAAATAGAGAATATATATCACTCTGCCTAGCATGGGAGCATAATCTACTAGGAAGACTCACCAGTTAACCACAACATTGTAAGTCTAGGTAGTTAAAGTTAGTGCTAGAGAAGACCTCCCTGCTTTCCTATTAGGAGGAATACGAAAGAGACTTAGTTATCTTTCATTTATGATTTTTCCTTTTCCTTTTCTTTCTCTTTTTGAAAAATGCATTTGTGTTGGAAGATTTGAGAGAGCAGGTGTGTCTACTCAGACTGGTTTGGATCATTCCCCATGAACCTGACCTGATTTGAGTTTGTTTGTTGCCTTCAGTAGTGCTTCTTGGTTGCAGTGAGTTATCCATGAATAACTGAATGAACTAACAAGCTGAATGGCTGCATTCCATACACATTTTCAGTTGGTTCCCTTGACAATAGTCCATTGCTATTCCTTAATTCTGAATTCTTGTATCTCTTGTATAGAAAGTACCACTTTCTACCATATTTGATACACAAGGGACTGCTTTGCAGAAATTTCTATCAAGCTCTCCCAACCTGGGTGTCCTTGTCTCTTCCTTGCCCCTGTCAAAGTTTAAAGGACTTACCTGATGTCAACGCCTCGGACATCCAGCAGTGTTGCAGCTGTGTCTCTGTTACTTCTGGCTCTGCAACAGATGTGGATGGAGAAGCTCCTGCAGTGTGATGCTGCCTTCCAGATGGTGGGCATGGGGGAAAAGAAGGTGTGACAACAGGAGGGGAGACCTCGGGAAGTGGGTGACAGGAGGCAGCAGACAGGTAGTGGGCAGCGGAAAGAATTGATGGGTGGCAGAAGGAGGGAGCCCTAAGAAAGGAGAAAGATGAGTTACGTGCCTTGTAATAGAAACTGACTCAGAATTTACAATTAGCAAACTAAATGTCTGCAAATTTACTTCAGAAACTTTACAGTGTTAATGTTACCATCAAGTAGAGCTCCTTATAAATATATAATATATGATTTTTAAATAGCTGGCTATTAAAATTTGTTGTCGTGATGTGGCTCCAGAAAACTTGTAGTTACACTTTCCTGGTATGGATAGTCATGAACTTGGATTCTTAAATTAAGGAAATTATATTGATACTTTTGTTCTGTTTATCTTCTTTTGACTTTTAATTTTAGGTTTAGATTTTTATGTGCACAAGAATACTTTGTAGTTTGTTATCAGTAAAACTAATTTTATGTGCAAATTAGATTTGTAAATAATCTTTTGATGATAATAAGGACATGTAAAAAACCATAAGTCAACTATGTAATTCTCTTCACTCTTCAGAAAAATTACTTCATCTTCCTAAATTAAAAAATAGCTATCAAGGCTCATTATTTTCAAATGGATCAACTGAGCTATTTATATGACTCAAAGACAGATACCTGTCTTGGTTTTATCACCATAAAGCTCTTAATTTACCATAAACCTCTTAATTTTAATGATAAAATGTTAGTTATTGATTTCAATTTTAAAACTGAAATTTTTAAATTGTCAGTGCAGAACGGTAAATTTCTTAAGCACCACTATGTCTAATTTGTTACCAGTTTTTGTTTTAACAGATAAAAACTTGGGCCGGGGATTTAGCTCAGTGGTTCCACCGCCTGCCTCACAAGCAGAAGGACCTGAGTTCGATCCCCGGTACCAAAAAAACTCCCAAAAAACTGATAGTATATGCCCTTTGTTTTGCTCTGCATTAGCATTTTTTCATTTTAAAACTACAGTTCAACTAAGAAATTAAGAGCCTGGAAAAGCCTGGCTCACTGGAATAGACCAAAATATAATTTAAAAATCTATAGAGGATTTTTAAAAATCTGTAAGAGATAACTCTAAATCTAGAAAACATTTTTAATCCTGAGGGGAAAAAAAACTAAGGACCTGATATTCACAGAGTTCCTTGGGAAAGTCATTTATTCTAATTATTCATTTTTCAAACATTTGGTGCCTTTAATGAGCATGCCATTGCAGAACTTCTAGTCTAATGAGGAAACAAAGAGACAACAAAAACAGTGTAAGAAGTACTATGACATAAGAAGTTAGATGATCAGGGTGTATACACTGAGGTTATTGGAGGAGTATAGGCCAGAATGCTGTCCAGCAAGGGCAATCAGTGAGAATGGATGCAGGCTGCTACAGACAACAGGCATGAGTGCCCAGGTACACATCAGCTGAATATTAGCCTTGTGATGTGCAGTAGCACTTTTCATGCTGGTAACTAGAAATCAGGAACACTTCCTGGCAGAGAGGAAATAATGGCTGAGCTGAATCCCATAGGATAAAAAGGGAGCTCTAGATAATGGGAGAGCAGGGGTTTTCCCATCAAGGGAACTACATACATGCAGCCTCTTCTTTGTTGGTATGGGGAATGGGAAGTGGGATTCATAGTTGACCATAGCTCTCTCTAAAGATACCCTCTTCTTGAACTCTCTCCTCAGTTCTTTGATGGCAGTCCATGTGAGACAAGGATCTATGAGTTGTCTGATTCTTTCATCCCTCCTCTGAGATTTGTTTATGGTAGTCTGTTCTATGACTTAATTGTGTCTCTAATATTTATTTTAGGGTTTCAAATAAATCTTAAATTTAATCTTCTTAAATATTTTCTGTAATAATATTAGATCCCAGGGGAGCCCTATTCGGGAGGGAAGTACCTATGTCAGGGCAAAGGATAGATGAGTTGAAGTAGGGAAATAAGTGTACCCAATCCACAGAGAAATGACTTAACAGACTGTTGAGTGTCTATGGTAAGACTCTATTAATAAAATAAAATTTTAGTATGTATTTTTTCAAATATCTTTATTGTTTACAACTTTTATTTCCTCTTACAGATGTTGATCCTGTCTCAAAATATAGTCCAACTGGAGTTCCAGGTGGAAAAGGTTACAAGGGAGAAAATTTCTGCTATTAATCAACTAGAGGAAGTTCAAAACCAGCTGACGTCTCAGGAAATGGATGTCACAAAGGTGAATGAAAATATTTTAGTTTAATGATTATTTAAGTACATATTTTATTTGAAAAGGAAACTTTTTTTGAGGTAAGATCTTGCTATGCAGCCCAGGCCAGCTTTGAACTTCCTGTGCAGCCCAGGCAGGTCTGGAACTCTTGATCCTCCTGCCTCAACCTCCTAAGCACTGAGATTACAGATGTGTACTACCATGCCCAGCAAAGAAATTATTATTATCAGGAAGAGGTTTGGGGTGGAAAAGTTTTATTATTTCAAGAACAGTCGCTGTCTGATTGTCACTCAGCAAATATTTGCATACTCTATGCATTCCCCTTTGATGTGCACTGCAGATTCAAAGATGAATTAGACACAAAGCCCTTGAAGAGTGTAAAGGTTAAGTGGAAAAGACAAACTGGTAAGTAAGAGTTATCTTGTATTATTGAATATTTGCTAAAACTTGTATTTCTAAATTAGGAGTGATTTTTTTTTTTTTTTACCATAAATAGCATAGGGTTGCTCTTCACAATAATTGTCAAAGATATCTATTGGCACTTGGAAAGTAACCTTAACATAAAACATTATCTTTCTCCCACTCCTTTTCGGATTTGGCCTCTAATATCAAGATTCTAATGTCACAATTTTTTTTTTGATATTGATGTTTCAGTGTATACACTAAAATACAATACAATCAGTGCTATGGACGTTACTAATTTGTAAACCAAGAACTGAAATGTTTAATGTTCTTATCTGGCTAAGATTACTATATTAGGTCTCTATTTTAATAAATACTAGAAGGTCACCCGGATTTCAAGTCAACTACTTTAAAACTAAAAATCTAAATATGGGCATGCATAATATAATAAATGAAATCACCATTAATAGTCTTCATCATTAAGATAATTTGTTTAAAATTCAAACCTATCCCTTGTTTTCCTAAATGTTGACAGTTTATCGCCATTATTGTTTCATATTTCAGTAGTTAAAATTCATTTTAATTTACATATTAAGAAAGAGGGTCTTTTCCCCCTGTTTCTTCAATTTCTATAATTGTCCATTAGCTTTCTAAAATTCAAGCTAACTAATGTTAAAATTTTAGAAGCTTGTATTTGCCAATATACCTGGTATGTTTGTGTGGACGCAGGATTTGAAGCGAGGAGATTGGAGCAGAAGTATAATAGTGCTTCACCTGGATTTACAGGTGAAATCTGTGGTGACAGTTTAAAGTTCATTTTGGAAGGAGAGCTTTCTGTTGAAATATAGCAACATGAAGAATGAGTTCTTGTGTCTAGAAATATCCAGAAGGACTGAAGCATCAGTAAAATGATTGAGATTCCTTCCAACCCTGAGATGATATAATTCTTGTTCAATTAATTGTTTATTTAAGATGAAATTTTAATGTTATGGATAAACATAGCAACTGCTGAACTGAAAGTAGAAAGGCAAAGGAACTTTAAAAGTAAAATTAAGAAAACAATTAAACAGGACCCAATATTTAGACAGTTATTATATAATGTTTGTGTTGGTGTTGTGTAATTGTTATTTTCTGGAATTAGCAACTTGAGATTTTTCCCACTTCATTCATAGATATAAATCAAACAGATTGGAATAGTGAAGAACTGAAAAAGAGGATTAGGACTCTAATTTCTGTCATTCTGAGTTTTTAAAATTCTACTTACCTTTAAAATAAAAAAACTTTTTGTAAATTTATAATTTTTTGAAAAGGAAAGAATAACCTCGCACATTGAAAGCAGCTGGTTTTCAAGTAGAATTTTTAGTAAATTTATTCTTGTTTAGCTTTCTGAGTGCCACAGTGGAAAATTATGCTTTTTCTTCTGTCTTGTCACTGTAACTTGAACTCAGATTAGTTTTGTTTTCTTTTCTTTTTTTCTTTTTTTCCTTTTTGAGATGGGATCTTTCCGAGTTGCTCTGGCCACCCTTGAACTCACACAATCCTCCTGCCTCCCAAGCAGAAGGGCCTAGAGGCACATATTACCATGCCCAGCTAGATTTAATTTTTTTTTCAAATGATTTTTTTTAACTTGAACATAGGAAATGCATACTGGTTTTATACCTTAGTATATTCTAATGCCTTAGTAATGATAAACTAATCATGATTTTTAGAGAAATATTAAAATTGAAATGTTTCAAGCAGATATAACCACTAGGTAATATATGATCTTTAAAACTTTTGTAAATTAGAAGCAGACTTGTGTATTAATCTCATGACAGGTTATGTTATGTTAAAAGGCCCATAATTTGTTCACTTAGAACTTATTAATCTGTGTAACCAATTTCAAAGAAAGAAAACAACAATTAAGGACCCAAAAGTCACCAACCTTTGTAAGATAATGATGAGAAATGTTGGAGATGATTTGTTGGTTACACGTTGTATACATGTGTCAAATTGTTTCAGTGTACCACATTAAAAAATCTCTAATATCACCTGTCAATTAAAAATAAAAACAAGGAAGTTACCAAAAAAAATGTATCTGCTGATTGCATTTTCCAAATATATTTCTGTGTCTGTAGAGGCTGGGAAAAATGCAAATTATACAAAGAATGATACACAACACTTTTAAGATTCTATGTGTGTTCATCATTTAATGATATTTTCTTTTTATGTTGAATGTTCTAGTTGTGAGTGTACAGTATGTTTAGTTCCACTTTGTGAATTTTTCCAAGCAATATTCCTTAACTTCAGCAGTGCTGTGTACTTAATAGAATAAGATTGATGTTATCTACAAAGTTCACAGTAGGTACTATGTACTGCACACTAAATATCAATAATGTGGTGCATTAACACTGTACACTATAGAGAAATTTTTCTTTATAAATTTATTTAAATAAAAGCCTAACTGATAAAGTCCTTAAAGAAAAATTTTACAGTGTAGATTGAATATTTAACCATAAAAATTAAAAATTTGAGTAAATAATAACATAGCTTAATGTTTTATATACTTTGTTTTTGAGGTAATGGAGATTGAACCCAGGGGTGCTCTACTGAGCTACATCCCCAACCCTTTTTTATTTTGAGGTAGGATTTTGCTAAGTTGCCTAAGTTGGCCTTAAACTTGTGATCTTCCTGCATCAGCCTCCAGACAGCTGGGATTACAGGCATGCACCATTGCAACTGTTTTATTTACTTATTTTACCTAATTAAAATTTGTATGATGGTGCTTTTTTATTGATAATATTCAATTGAAATAGTTATTTGGGGGTATATTACTTAAATCTTCAGTTTAAGGGCCAGGGATTTAGCTCAGTGGTTTCACCCCCTGCTGCACAAGGATCCAAGTTCGATCCCCGGCACAAAAAAAAAAAAAAAAAACTTCAGTTTAAATTTTTTAGTTTATGCATGTATCTGTAATATGAAATTGTTAGACTCAATGATCCCCGATAAGGCCTTCAAATCTTAACGGGTTCTATTGAATACTGCAGTAGAAAATGTTCTTAGATGAGTACCATTGCATTTCATCTATACGACCTCTAGGGGGCACCAAAAGATCTAATTGCAGGCGTTGCCGCGTAGATTCCAGCAGCTATTGATCTAGTTTCTACAATCTAACAGGTGTGTGGAGAACTGCGCTTCCAGTTGAATAAAGCTGAAGTGGAGAAGGATGAGGCAGAAAAGGAGCACAGAGAGTACAGAGTTAAAACTAAAAGGGATCTTGAAATTAAAGATCAGGTAAGCGATGGCACAAGTAGAAGGACCAATTAAAGATATAACTAACTTTCTTTCTGAAGTTGATGTGGCTTTATCCCTAAGTTATTTATTTCTCTTATATTGTTTCTAACTAATGCAATGTTCTAGTTTATACTATTAAAAGACTTTCATTTATAGTTGCTTAAAATTATCACCTTTCACAGGAAATGGTGAGACTACAACTGCATGCATATAAAATTCCAATCTGACAGGTCATAAATATACATTTGGATATGTGTATCTATTACTTACAAAAGTTAAAAAAAAAGTGTTCTAATGCACAGTTTGAACCTAAAATATATGTACATAAAGTTCTTGAAAGATGCCAACTTGCATCCAATTTTAAATGAAAAAGTTTAAAATGTGTAAGATGAGATGGGTTGATATGTAAATATGTCAATCAAATTGATTGTTGGCAGAGTGAAACCAGTTTTAACTAAGATAACCATGAATATGTTTCCTTAGGAAGCCTAAATACAGTGCAATTAGAAATGTTAGGGAGGCAAATGCTGCTTACTTCAACTGCAGTTTGAACAGATGTTTTATGTTGTAACTTTATTGAGATCATGTAGGTGCTGCAATTTCAATTGACAACATAGATGAAGTTTTTAGAAAGGCAGATCTAATAGGCTTGCTTTTGATTTTCTATTTTTATATGACAGTACAGGCCTTTGAGGGTTTGCATTCTTTGTATCTAGTGAAACCAGGTTGTTCATGCTATTAAAATAGTAAGACTGACTTCTTAGTGGTGATATTTTAAAGAAATTGCCATAATTTAAAAGTATGTAGCTCTAAGTAAAATTATTTCAAGTATATTTCCAGTTCAAGGTTTTTTATTGTATTTCTCATATTGTCCCCTTTAAACCCCATTAACTTTTTATGACAAATGATACAAAGACAGCTGAGAAAAGTATTGAAATGAAAGTGATAACAAAGTTTAATACAAAAAAGTTTTTTAATTCATGACTAAAATCTTTAGCACTAAGTTAAAATCCAGACAACCAAACTAAAATTCTGCTTTTGTACCACTATATTCAAAGTGTTATAAAGAGTTTTACCCTTTCAGAGGATATTTTCATTATTAACACTTACAAGTAATGAAACTACTTTATTTCATCCAGTTGGGGGCGTGCCTGATAGTGGAATGGAAAATCCTTTTTATCTAGTCCTGAAAACCTAGGACTACTAAGTCAAAAAGGGAGAACTTTCCTTTTCTGATGTTATACATCTTTAAATTCTACTGGCATAACCACTAGCATTATTAAATACTTCCTGCATTATTGTACAACATTCTGCCATCATAATATTTTGGATTAACTGGGAAAATACAACACTGAAGAATCTCTAAGTTATTTAAATTTATATTATAATGTTTTAGAGGAAAAAACAAGATCAGTAAGGGTATAGTATCATTTGTAAATGAATAAAGTGTTTTAAAGTATTTGTAATTTTTATCTTTTAGTACTCTTATCTCATTTTAATTCACCAGTAATGCTATGAAGGCCACAGATGCAAGATTTTAAAGGAATAGTTTTCATTTTAGACATTTCCTCATAATAATGAAATATTAAGAGTTTTCACAATGATTTTTAGTGATACATTTTTAGATAGAGGTATGCTTTTTTAGGAGCTCATAGGGTTAGGAATAAAACTTCTGAACAGATACAAGATGTTTATGTTAGATGTGCTTGTTACCATTTTTTCTTGGACAGAATGTAAGGAAATCTTATAGGTACTCTTTGTAACTATTTTGTATTGAACAGACAATTTAAGAAAAGAAAATAGTGGTGTCTCATTCCACGGATGATTTGGAGTAGCAAAGCAGCAATTGTTCTTTGGTCTTTCAGCCATGACCTGACCTTCTGTCTGTAAGACCAAAGAGCTATTTTGCTTGGCCACCATCTGCACTCAAGAGAGAAATTTACATTTAACTTTTAAAAGCTGGACATGTTGAGCATTCATCTGAAATACATACAATAATGTAAAGCATATTTAATTTTAAAGTGTGCATATCATGCAATTCAGCATAATGAGAAGTGTCTCTTGGTTTGCAAACAAGTATTCCTTGTGACACAGTCATTTTTGTTAATATTTTAGTTAATCTGACCATTTGATAGATTTTTAAAGTAGGTGGGAAGCTGTGAGATTGGAATGTGGTGAGAACAAGAGCTTTTTTGATGTGTACAAAATAGGGCAAATGGTTGACTACCAAAATGGTTTTCCTTGTGACCTGAGCCTTGACTCTGGCATAATTAGATGGAAAGGTTAGGGGAGTAACAATGGCAGCTTCTTCCACCCACTTTCTTCTTTTCTTTTTTATATTGTGCCAGGAACCGATGGGCAGATCATCCTTCCCATCAACGCCTTTGTATCTCTCCAACTTAGAGAACTCCTGACAGCATCACAGGATGCTTTTTGTGTGTGCATGCACACACACACCAAAAAGATGATGTTTATATGGAGGAGAACAAGAAATTTGTGCCCTGATTTTTATTAGAAAATTTCTGTAGCTATAGGCATACATACACACACTTCATCATGGGAATTTAGAAATACTTGAGGGCAAAGGGAAGATTAGAACAAATCCCTGAATTTCTATTACCTATGCTTAACATTTTGCTAGTCGTGTTTAATCCATTTCACCATTTTCCCCTCAACTTCATCTTCCTAGTCACTACCTTCATCTTTTATCATCTTTTTCTTTTCCATCTTCTGTTATCTTGTTATCTTCTATCTTCTTCCTCTAATTCTCCTTTTGCAGAAATTTTAAAGTCAATCTTAGATATTATATTTGTTATTTTACCCATAAATACGTCAATGTACATCTGTGAATATTTTCACATGATCACTATGCTATTATTACACCCGGGAATAGTAACAGTAATCCCCTAATATCAAATCAAATAATTCCCAGCCCACATTCAAATTCTTTATCTCAAAAATGTTTTATAATTGGTTTATTCAAATCAGAAAAGCAGGTATGTGTTTGCATATCAGAGTGTGGCACTACTTCTCTCTTTAAAAGGAAATTAAAGAAACTCAGAAAAATTTAAGTTTTCTTTGTTGTTGTCCATTTTATTTCATAATGTTTTATTGTACTTAAGAAATGCCTCATCACCATTCAAAAGAGATAGGAATTAATCCTTAGCAAAGTCTTTAAAGAAGTGGCTACCATGTTAAATCCCAAAGGGGCTCCTTAGAATCAGAAACCCAAAGAAGTAATTTCATATCCTTACATTTAAGATTTTGGAATGCTGCAGGAAGCCCTGGCATCACAGGGGTTAGCTGACCTTAAATGAAGAGTACACAAATGGAATCCTTTTTCTCAATTTCTATTTGGTAGATAAATCTCAAAGAAGATCCCTTATCAGGGGCCTATGCAAAGAAAAAATACAAGATTATTTGTTCTGAAAGCAAGAAAAAAATGATACTAAAAGTACTAAAATGTACATTTTTTTTGTCAGTCTCTTTCTTTCCTGTCTCAGTGTTTCTTACTCGCTCTTTAATTTCTGACTTTTTCCAGTGTAGGTATACAGATGGGGAAGTGCAGATCCCACAGGGACCTGGGGCTGAGGTGCACATGTGGCCTGTCGGCTTCTGCTTCTTCAGTCCTCCAGCCATAGGGTGACACACCAGGCCCTCAGGTATGGGCAGAGGCGCACACTCAACCCCAGCACTCCTTCTCCTAAGGCTCACATCCAGATTCCTGTCATGGACAAAGGACAGGAGCAGAACACAGCCTCCAACCTATAACCTGGCTCCATGCTGGGTGGAGGGCAGCAGCTATATCAAGGCAGGGCAGCAGAGAGGAAGCTGGAGGAGAGCACACTTTCGAGACTGCCCAGGGCAGCAGCGAGTGAGCTGGGGTTCCAAAGTGCCATCACACTGTGCTGACAAAGCACAGACTCCAAGATAGCATCATTAAGAATTTCAAGACAGTGGACTGGGGATTTAGCTCAGTGGTGCTGCCGCCTGCCTCGCACGTGCAAGGTCCCGAGTTTGATCCCCAGTACCAAAAAAACAGAATTTCAAGACATTGACCATAAAGCCTTGAACTACAAGAGTAGAGCCCATCTAAACAGCGCCTGTGTGACTGCCCTCCCCACCTCCCCGTGAAGATGTCATAAGCATGGGAGAGGCAGAGACTTGGTAGCTAATGTACTTATTTATATCCACACACCTACACACACAGACATCTGTACCTATTTAACATACTCACACACCTTGTGTCCTGAGAGGAGGGTTAACCAGCGATAGTCCTCAGGCAAAATCTGGCTTGCTACCTAGAACACAGCTATGTTGTTTACATATTGCCTATTGCTGCTGTCCTGATACAACAGCAGATTTGAGGAGGTGCAGCAGAGACCATGTACCCCATTAAACTTAAAACATTTAGTATCTGACCCTTTACAGAAAAAGTTTGCCAACCCTGGTCCTAGACATGGAAATATAACTATTTTTAAAGCTTCCTGTGTCTTTCTTGAATGGAGAGCTTTGAGCTTCAATACCCATCAACCTTAAAACTTAGTGGTTTTAGAATACTTTACAGTACAACCAATATACCACATTCCTGGTCTCTTAATCATCAAGCAGTAATGCTGAGTGAGTGTATCACTGGCTGTGACATCTTCTTTATAGTGACACATGCCTTTATAATGGCTTGAATGAGAGTGTAACTCTCAATATTGTTTTGTATTTATAATTTTGTTTTTTGGTTAACACCAATTTTATTTTTCAGAGATAAGAATACTGACATAGAAAGCTTTTCTTATAGATTATATACATTATAACATTGGAGTTATAGCTACCATTGAGTAGAAAGCATTTCAGTTCAAAATTACCTTCATGGGGTAATCACAGTAATTATTTGAGAGTAAAGCATAGATACAAAAGAAATAGATCAGAAAACCTTGCCTAGAATAAATTAGGGCAAAGGATTTGAGAGTTGCTCATTTCTACAGCAGTATGATTCAGCACTTTAA